ATTCGCCCAGAGCTGAATAGCAAGCTGGAGGCCAACTGGGCCAGGACTGGAATTTAGGTCTCCTGGATCCAAACCAGGGTTCTCTCCTCCTCTGTGTGGAAGAGTTCTTCCTTTGCAAATCACCTTTAACACCAACCATGGCAGCCTTCTTTTTGGCATTTAACACTCTGAAATTCTTTTATTTGCTTACTTATTTATTATGGGTCTCTTGCTGCTAGAATAAAAGCTCCCGGAGAGAATGGTTTCTGTCTATTTTGTTCCTGTGGTATCATAGTAGGTGCTCCATAAATATTTGTTGGATGAGTTCATGAATGGAACTGACAATTTCTATTTGGACTTCGAGGTCCTAGAAATACTTAATGGCTTCTACGATATCCCCAAAGGAGAAAATGAAAAATAACTATATGACATTGACACGCTTTCACAGAATTATCTCCATAACTGCCTTAGGAGGCTCACATTATCATCACCACCATTTTAAAGAGAAGAAAACTGAGGCTCAGGGAGGTCTGGTGACTTGTCCAAGGTTACAAAGCTAGGAAGTTGAGAGCTTGGATTTGAACCTAAGTCTCAGAGGCAGGCTGGCCCTGAGCCAGTCCACACACCTGAGACTATCAGGATCTGCATATTTCAGCCCCTTCTGTCCCCACACACCCCCTCAACCCTTGTGGGTGCTGATTACAACTTTCAAAGTATTTTCTGGTCTCTTCCAACTTCTTCGGCTCAGGGAGAAGAAGAGATTTGATGAAGTAACATGGAGTCCAGCTCTCTGACCGCCAAGCTTCCCAAGTTGGTGTGGCTGACAGTAACGGCAGCAGCTGCTCATGGATTTGCTAAGACACTCACTTTCCTTCCTGATCAGCTTTGTATCAAATCCTCAAGGACCCTGGGCTAAGGCCAAAACTTGGTCCTAGTTCAGCATCTGAATAAGCTGAATAAAAATGTTCCCATAATACCCCCAGGCAATTGGCTTTATTAAAACACCCAGACACTTAGCATTTTTAAGAACCTAGATTACCATCCTGATAGCTTTCACCAAGTCCTCAGATAATTTTTAAAATATCATTTAGTTCTGGGAGTCCTAGAGCTAAAATGACACTCCAAGGAATCTAAACTAACTAAAATAAAGGAATCTCCTCTTTGGCCTCAGTTTGCATACTTCCAGTGAAAGAAAACTTGCTACCTTGTAATGCTACTTGTTTCTAGTTTGGATTCAGCTCAGCTGAGCAAAACAAAAACTCACATTAGCCCCCGGTGCTAGGGACTAGGAGGTGCCTCAGCCACCACTCTGCTCTCGGGGAATTCACAGAGACTGTTATCCCAAGATGAGACACAGCACAGGCTAGGATCGAGGCAGAAGAGTTACCCTCGGGTAGTTCCCCTTCCCCTCCAGGATGCAGTTGTGGAATTTTTCCTCAGTCCCTTACTCAGCCCTTTCCCTGTTTTGATTTCAAGAAGGAGACCCCAGTATGTGAAACAAGCCAAGGCCTAGAGACTAGATAGATGGCTTTGGGCCACCTCCTCCCCTCCAGGTAGCATGAGAAACAAGCCAAGACCGGGAGACATGCTAGATACCCTTAAGACACCCCCACCCCTAAGAAAACAAAAGCCCATAATTCAGACAGCTTGGGCATACTCTCTCTCTGAGCTGCCCATACTTTTCTCTTAAGTGTGTACTTTTGCTTTAATAAAACTTGCGCTTTCCTGCTTGCTGTTTGTTGTGTCCTTGAATTCTTTCTCACAGCATAAGACAAGAACCTGGGCACCAGGGCTCTGGGGTTGTGGTCTCTTTGGAATCCCGCGCTGTTGAGCTGTCCAGCATCAAGATTATCTTCTAAAGAGGCAATATGTGAGGCCCAAGCTCATATACAGGGTCATAAGTTCCACTGCAGGCACCCATGGATTTCTGTGGGTCAGCCTGGACTCTGCTCAGTTGAGTCTGAGCACTCCTCCCAGAGGAATGGCTCCCTGAGGGTGTCTGGGCACAAAACCCAGTAGTTCTGAAAAGACTGAACAACAGTAGTGGGTGGAAGGCTACACTGCTGGCTTGTGGGGTTGACATCATTGTTTTAATATTATGCTTCTAGAAACTTCATACACATTAATGGATGGATTTGTGGTTTTGCGGATGGAATGGGAAAATATATATGAAAGCCATCCATGACAGGGTCTGACATATGGAGTACATGCTTAAAAAAATACATTTGCTGGGTTTGAATTGCAAACGTGCTGGATTAAAAGACTACACAGACACAGTTCTTTGAAGAGTCATTGAGAACTGGGCTGCCTACATCCTTCTGTTCCAAGTTGGCACTTGCCATAGGAGCTCCACTGAATAGCCCATGGGGAAAGGGGAATCTTGAAGGCTGATGTTTCACCAGGGGTCTAAATTCAGTCCTACCTGGGCTCCTGAACACCGCTCCCCTGTTCAGTGATAGTGGTACTGTGAAGGGATGATGTGGGGATGAATGGGATGAGGATGAACAAGTTTCCAGGTGGCAGGGTGGGGTGTGCATTTCTGCAGGATGGGTCCAGTGGGAAGGCAGCTGCTCCCAGAAGCAGGTTTGAGTCATACTTCCCGGTAACAGTGAAGACCATGTTTGAGCAATGGCAGTGTGTGGAACCTCAATACACATGGACCTCATCAATAGGATAGGTTTCATCCAGCCTCTTTCATACAAGAAACACCTCCTGATAGGAGGGAGCAACCCTACTCCCTACTGCCTAATTATGAAAGACCAGTGGGGTGTGATGAGACATCTTGTTAACCCTCCAGTCATAGCCTCCCTGACCAGTTAGTATTCAGCTCCAACTTGTATACTACAAGAACAAAGGATGGCTGGGCTCTTCTTGGCTAGGGATGCTTAGGTGCTTAGCTTACCTCCACCCCAGTAGTTAGGACACTGGTATAGAGGAAAGCTGAAGACACAATGGGTCCCAGGTCTGGCTTGGCTTTGGCACTCCGTTCTGCACAGTAGGGAAGGGGCATGACTAAAATCTGGGTTGTTGTGGGGCCAGCAGGCATAGGGTGGTGACTCTGGTCATGAGACCCCAAATTACTCAATGTTTGCAAACTGTGTAGGAGCCAGAGTTCCCCACGGAGGAGAGTACCAGTCTTCTTCCTTGTCCCTCCACTGCAGGGACCTCTGTGGGGAACACTGAGTCCTCTGACTGTTCCCCAGGCAGTAGCTCCCCAAGGATGGCCAGATTGCTGGAGAGCTGGAAACAGTATGATGCTGTGTGACTTTGGACTTGTCTCTACCTCTGTCAGGCCTCGGTTTCCTCATCTCTAACAGGGGATTGGCCCCAGGATGCTCCCTCCAGTGCTAATGGGCTGTGGGTATTGTGGCACCCTAAGCACCTCTTAGTTCATCTTTTCCTGCTTCCAGGGGGATCTGGGGCTGTTTCTCTTTTCTTCTTTTGAGCCTAACTGCTGGACTCTGGCCACACGTGGGTTCAGAGGCTTGGTAACCTTGCCAGCCCAAGTGAGGAAACAGGCATAATGTTGGAGGCCAGGGAGAGTGACCAGAGGGCCATTCCTGGGCCAACTCAGTTCAAGGTTGCTCTGAGAGAGCTGCACAAGGCAGCATGCACTATCTCGGCAGGGACTGACCAGAGTGGAGTAGTGGCTCTTCAAAGTACACCACCAGACTCCTTCTCCTAGTCCAGAACAAGTACCCACTCTCTACCAATTATGGAGAATGCCAGGGCAAAATGCACAAAGCTGACCAGGCAGAGCAGACTGTTGCCCTATGAGCTTCATCTTGTGGCAGGACCCAGAGGAGGGGACACCCACTGTTGTTTTTCTGCTCCATTTGCTTCAGGAACAGATCAGTTGTGATGGTTGAGAGCTTGGCAGTTTAAAGTGGCAACCGTCTTGCAGAAACAATGGAGGACTTTCCCAGGGGGAGGGGAGACAGCCTTGACTCACCTCTGCCAACTGTCCATGTCCCACTCCTCCTGCATAGCCCAAGAGCAGCCAGTTCCCGGCTGAGCAGGGGTTTTCCCATACAGTGAGCCCCTGGTCCCAACTCATGCTGGCAGGTGAGACAGTCCTGACACATGAAATAGTTCCATAGCTTCTCAGACCCTGCTGACCCCTGCCCCATTAGAGACAGGGTCGGAAGATTGCTGTGGTTGTTCCAGCCTCCAGCACGGTGGCCTAAACCAACTGCCACCTCTGACCCAGAGGGCCCCCAAGACTAAGAACCAGTCTCTTTCCCACGTGGTACCAGGAGTGATTGCCCAAGATCACACAGGGGGTCAGGGGTAGGGCAGGCTTCGGACCCTGCCCCTCCAGCCCAGCAGAAGCTCCTGACTCCCTTCCTGCAGTGTCTATCTGCCTCCCAGCGAATTCCTGAGATGCTTCAACCTCCTGTCCGCAAGATCCGAATCCCGGACGGGGCGGCGGGATTTCACCGAAGGGAAGCTGGAGCCTAGAGCCAGGAGGATGGGGAGACACTGGAGAGAGTGAAGCGGAGCAGGGCTGCTAAGCCTGGAGACCCTTTGGGCCTGGATTCACGTTTCCCCGCCCCGAGGAGGCAACCAACTGCGTAGACGCGGAGATGGGGCACCCTGAGTCCCCCTCCCCCAAGCCGAGGAGACTGAATATCCTGCATCTTCACCGCAGAGCAACGCCTACAGAGCCCCAGCTCAGAAAGACCGGCGTTGGCGCCCCGAGTCTTGCGTAGCTCGGGTCCCCATACCCGAGAGCCCTGCGGGCTCTGATCCCCAGCCCTACAACACCGCGACCAGTGTTGCTCCCGCGACTGCGACCTCAAAACCTCCGAGACCCGGCTCCGCAAAGGCGCCTGAAATCACCCTTCCTTTCCCGGGTTCCTGAGAGCTGCTTCTGCGTCCGTGCAGCCGCGGCTTCGGGGACTGAGCTGCTGCCCAGGCTCTCCGCGGAGGGGATATCCAGCCGCAACCTCCGCGCCCCCTGCCCGGGCCTGGCACCGCACAGCTCTGGCCACCACTGCGCGTGTGCCCCTCCGGCCTACCTCCTACTCGCCGGTCCTTCTGCAGCCGCCGAGCTCGCGCTGTCCTCGAGGCGGGCGCGGCTCCAGCGCGTCTGGCCGGCAGGGCGCGGGGGAGGGGATTGTCCTGGGGGCGCTCAGGAGCGGGAGTCCGCGCTGGACCCTCCTGCAGGCCCCGCTACCACCAAGCCGTGACCTTGGCTATGGTCTCTCCGCGCCCCGCCTCAGTTTCCCCCCCTTCGAAAGGTGAGGGGGGACGTCGGTGCCGCCCCAGCCGCGGACGTCACTCGAGTCCGGGCAAGTTGAGGGCGCGCGGGTCTGTGGAGCCGCTGCAGCGGATGGGCCCCGGGAGCGGGGTACGTACAATCCAGGCGCATTGGAGGGAGCACTGTGACCCCAGCATTTCTCTTAGACTCCCAAGACCCCTAAATAAATTTAGCAAACAGCCTCAGGCTAAGTCCTCTGGTTCCTCCCACGGAAAGCTGTAGCTCCGGCCGGCAATGCCCAGCCCCTCTCCCCCAAGACTCTCCAGTTCACAGATGAGAAGACTGAGGCTCAGAGTGGGCAGCCATTGGCCCAGAGTCGCACAGCGCGACAGGGCTGCGCGCGTCCACCCTGGCACCACGCCCCATTAAGTCCTCTCCTGACACGCACTCCTTACAGTTTTGGGAGGAGGATCCCGGCCTGCTAGCAGCACCCTTCATCCCACAGCAAACACTGACTCAGCACTAACTGAATGCTGGGGATGGGCCTCAGTGGCCTGACAACTGTCATAGGGAATGGGGTAGCACAGTCTTAGAGACCCAAGCTGTGGGGAAGAAGTGGCGGAGATAGGAGAGAGGTTGGGCCTGGAAGGGGAAAGGAAGGGGAGGGTGCTCTAGGAGGACTGTACCTAAGATAAAAACGGGGATGGGAATACGTATTTCCTGGTGTGTAGCGGGGAGGAGGCGGGATCTAACAGCCCCGAACATCAGACGGAAAAGAAGCAGCTTCCTTTCGTAAGCAGCGGGGAGCCGCGGATCTGGTTGGAGAAAGAGCGTCAGTATCTCGGCGGTATTTAGCAAGCGCCTCCTCGTGGCCAGAAGGAGGAGAGACAGGAGGTCAGAGGAACTCGGCTGCAGTGGTCCCGCGGAAAGGAAGCTGGCTGAGTGATGTAATGAGTCAGGAGACTGGAGTCTCTGCCGGCCCTGACACGGATGGCAGTGTGACCTTGGGCCAGGCACTTCCTCTCTCTCTCAGCTTTTGGGAGGGAGTGAGCTTGATTTTCAGCTCTGATAGCTCATGACCCTGGACATTGGGGCCAGATGGAATTGGACACTGGATCCACTAAGGCACAGACAGATCAGAAGTGAGAGGCGGACATTTTGTTTATGAGGTAGAAACTATTATCTCTATTTTACAGACAAGGACACTGCAGCACATAGAGGGTAAGTCATCTGCCCACGCTCACACAGCTGCTAAATGGCCCAGCTGAGATTTGAACAGGCCTGTGAGGTCGCAGAGTCTAAGTGGAGTGTCTGCCCACCTCAGTCTCCTGCCTTGAAGCAGTTATCAAGCATCTAATGTGTTCCTGGGATATACAAGGCACTGGTGACAAATGAAGATGAATAAGGAATGGTCCAGCTCCTGGCGGCTCTTCCTCACCTTGTGGCAAGAGTGAGCCCATGGCACCTTATTAGTGCTCACAGCAAACCAGCTTGTAGTTACCCTGCAGGAAAAACTTTTTGTACAAGCCATGAGCCCCCACCCCAAACCCAGTGTTTCACTATTCCGTATTGTAGGACATTTTGTTTTTGAGAACTATGAATTTTATAATTCCAAAAATATATTTTAAAAGAGCACTTAGAGGAAGAAAAGATGCTCGTAGTTTTAATAATCAAAAATGCTCTATAGAAGCCACATCCTTTAAACAAAGGATGCCAGGAGTGAGTTACTTGGCTGATGGAAGGTAGGTGAGGGAAGCGAGAATGGCAAAGGTTTTAATCTGTTCAGGCTGGGCAATTCCCATTACCTTTCTCAGCCTCATTGCCATTCATCTGTAAAACAGAACTGATAAAAAAATCCCACCCTGCCTCCCTTCAAAGGCTGTTGCGAGGATCAACTGTGATAATGTGTGACAAGGTTGTGTAAAATCCACTGTGTAAATATTTTTATTCCAAGAAGCCATGAAGGAAAACATTGATTAACTATATAAAAATTAAAACTTCGAAACGGAATTTAAAAATACCACAAAGTAAAAAAAGTCAAATGGTAAACTTAAAAAAAAAAAATCTGCAGCACATATGATGCAGCACAGGAAAATGAGCTGAGAGTTAATTACCCTGATATATAAAGAGCTCTTTCAAATCGATAGGAAAAAGATGACTAACCAATTAGAAAAAAGAGCAAAGGATATGAACAAGAAGTTCATGGAAAGATATTCAATCTCGCATGTATTAATGTATATTAAAGAAATACAAACCAAAACACAACATGCTTGCCATTTTAAAAAATCTACCTAATTGGCAAAAATAAATGAGTTTGATAATACTTTTACTGTTGAAAGTGGAAAAAGTGAATACACTCAAAAACACTGTCGTGTGAGGTGCAAGATGGTACAAACTTTTCTCAACGGTGATCTGGCAAAACTATACAGCATGCTAATATACACAAAAATCCAAGAACAGGTAACAGAATTCTGTGTAAGAATAAACAAAGAAAAATACCTCTGATGTCCAACAAGGAGGGACTGCATGAAAACACACCAATAACGTTAGGGCTTTGTCCTGGGACAGTAAGGTCTCTGAGACACATTTCTAGTGACAAATGCAAGGGACAGAAGACTATGTATGTTATGATCCCTTTTGTGTATATTTTAAAAGGTCATACATATATGAAAGTCCTAATTTTCCCCCAGAGTATACACACATACCAAAACCAACTGCTATTGGCTACCTTTTGGGAGGACGATGAGGTGTGTGGAATGGGTATGTGAGGAGCTTTCACTTTTCATTTTATACATTTCTGAGAATTAGTTCATTTTTAAAAAGTTACTAGGGGTTATCTGAACATAGGCACTGGCTCATGAGCCAATTAAATCTTCTTTATGTGCATTAAAAAATTAGGTAACTGTAAACTTGTATTAAAAAGTTAAGTGATTATTTTTTATGTGAATAAAAATTATCAGAACATTACCTAAATGAGAGACTGGTTCACCAGGTTATCATTATAATCAATTCATACGATGGAAACCCATGCAGCAATCAAAAAAAAAAGAAGTGCCTTCTGCACAAAGACAGATAAGGAACAATCTCCAAGATATTTTGGTCAGTGGAAAGACAAGGTACAGGACAGGTATATGATGTGTTATTTTTTATGTAAAAAATGAGTATAGAATACATGGTGGTACATGCATGCATTATCTCCAACAAAGATGATTAAGAAACTGGTACAGCAGAACCCTGGGGAAGGGCATGAAGAATTGGGGGACAGGGTAGATGGAGACTGGCTTTTCACGGAAATGTTCTATTAAAAATTTTTTTGCACTATATGCATATAGTATTATTGTTTTTTAATTATCTCTAAAAAATAATCATTTCCAAAACTGGACATGGAGTTGGAAGGTCTAGTTTCTAGGGCCTGCTCTGACATGAACTGGATCACTCCTTGTGTGATCTCGGGGGAAGTTCATCTCCCTTCTGAGCCTCAAGATCCCCTCTATCTAGTGGACAGGAAGCCCGAGATAAGATGAGTGTCAAAGCTCCTTATATCCTTGACTCCATACCAGCCTGAGAACCTTCTCACTGGGAGAGCCAATCAGATATGGAAAGGCAGCTAGGGAGATAGGGTGCTCCCCATTCTTGGATTTGTGGGAGCAGAGGCCAAGGGTCAGCTGCCTTGGGGACACAGGCTTGCATAACTTCTAAGATCCCTCTTGACTTGCCAACATGCTGTTCCCTTTCCTTCTTCCACTTGCCATGCCCCACCTGGAAACTCTTGGTTCATATTTCTTCTCCAGGTTACCCATGGCAAAAGTCCCATCTGTCTGGATAAGAGATCAGTCTTGTGGACCTGGGACAGGTGACACAACACTGGGAATCCATGTGGGCCTGATATGTCAGTAGGGACCAAAGCCTCATGTTGGGAAACAGAAACATTCGCCCGACCCAGAGATCGGCCTTGGCCTCAATCCTGTTCCCTTCCCCTTCCACAAGCAGCTCTCTAAGCCCATGGCCTTTCTGGTTCATCCGCCTCGCCACCCCCGCCCACCCATCTGCCATCAGTCATCACCCAGAACTTTCTTTGGTTCTCCATTGCCCACCAATCCAAGCAGATGCTCTTCAGCTGGACATTCAAGGTTCTGCACTTTCTGGTCTCAATTTACCTGACTTGTGCTTCCATTTGTTCATGATTGTCCCTTATTTAAAACAATTTTTCAAATTCAATCATATCCCTTCCCTGCTCAAAACTCTTTTACGGCTCCCTGTGAACTGGAAGATAAAGTCTAAGCTCCTCAGGCTGGCATTCAGAACTGGTGTCTGCCTCCCTGCCTAGCTCTATCTTCAGCTGCTTTCCTCAAAGTCAAGCTTTAATTAGTACCTGTTGAGTGCACAGGGCTATTTCATGACAGAGTATTTGCACGTACTATTCTCTTGGTTTCCTCAATATATATGGAGTTCTTACAAATCAGTAAGAAAAACAAATGAACAACTCAAACACATCCGATTTAACTATGTAGTTCAGGGGGAAAAAATGTAAATGGTCTATAAACATACAAAAAGATGTACAACCTCATTTATAAAGAAACACAAATCATAATGATAATATACCATTTTCACCCATCAAATTGGCAAAAATTCCTACAACGTCCATGTCTCTTTGTTAGCTAAAGTCCAAACCTATTCTTTACATCCAGCTGCAAAAATGTCACCTCTTCTAGACATCTGGGCTTCCACAGTGCCCTGTACATCCTGAGACAATGCTTAGAAGAGGGCTAGGCACATAGCAGAAATTTAGTCAATGTTAGCTATTAATAATAAAAATAACAACTGCCACACTGTTCTATAATGATGAGCTAATGGGTCTATTAACCTCATGAAGGTCCCTAAGGGCAGAGATGGAGTTGGATTCACCTGGGCTTTGCTGGCATCAGCACAGGGACTGCTACAGACATGTGCCCAATAAGTGGATAAGCAATGGGGACAGGTAAAGTACATGAGGCTGAGGAAGGCTGACGCCAGAAACCAGCTCTTGGAAGCTGTTCTGCTGGGAAGAGTAGATGCTGTGGAAGAAGGGAGAGCCTGAAAGGAGAGCCGGGTGGTGGGCACAGGTCCAGGCACAACCTCCAGTAATTGGGGTCCACTCTGTCTCAGGCAGGCACTGTGCTGGGCTCTTTGCCCACGCTATTTCTATTCCTGACAATTCTTCAAGATGGGTGATGCTCCCTCCATTTTACAAAGAAAACTGAAGTTCTGGAAGGGTGGCTTCCTAAATGGCTCTTATGACCCCACACTGCCTCTGTGCTGGTTTGTGGACATTCACAGGTATATGGCTTTGGACATATTACTTTCTCTATTTGAGCTTCTACTTCCTCATCTGAGAAATGGCTATACATTAAGAATTTCTCAGATTTAAGAATTGGTGGACACCTAAGAATACAGTTTGTAAGATTTCACTTTAAGGACCACTGCATCCAAAGTTAAATGCTGTTACACTGGAGGATTCCTCAATAAGCACACAGTTATAAACACGATAGGAAAGGCAGCCACAGAAATCAGGCAGCAGAATGTAGTTTCTAGAGAGTTATTCAGGCAATCTAAACATGCTGTTGTGAAAGTAGGGGAGGTTGTCATTTTCGTTAAAATATTTTTAAAATTGTCTAATGGTCAAATGGACAAAGGTGCCAAG